GGGTCACATATGAAAAGCATAGGACCCCCCTGCGCTCCTCACTTTCTCGGACCCCGATATACCTCCTTAAATGGGCATTTAATGGAAAACTTATTGAGATCCTCTAAACTCTTTTAACCTTTAATTAAACTTTAAGTCCAAAGTTTATAGGAAATTTTCTTGTAATTTCAATACTATACTTAGAAAAAACATTTGGAGGTTACATTCCGCAGATGCAAGCCAGACTTACATTTTTTTGACAGCTAACAATAAACCTTTAGACTCTTTAGGTCATATTTCTGTCATTATTAGAGAGATCATTATATAATCTTAAGGAAAATATGTAAAAATATTCAGGGTGTTCTATTATTTTCCTTCTCTAAAATTTTGACCGAACTCCATTGAATTAATTATACGACCGTTTTCCCAAGCATGATCCCAAATGTTTAATTTCTCAAATTTTCGTTTTTTTTTAGTGCCTACTCTTTGTGGTCGTCTATTCCAATTTTTGCAGGTCGAGATAATTCTCCAAAATAATGTTTATCGTATTTGCAAGCTGTGCTATAAATGCTTTTAATTTTGAAAACCATTATTTGGGCGCATCATTGACAACAAAGTCCTTAAAGTATTAGTTGTCTGAAAAACTGTTCTAATGTCAAATTTGTTACCAGAATTTTTTCTATAACATAAAACCTTTTTACTGTTTTTTGTTGTGTGATATAAAATTTGTTTTACTTTCAATATTATTAAAACCTGCTTCTTTCAGTGTGAGAATTTTGGTTAGACAAAACTATTTTCACAAAAATAACCCTAGACCGATCCTTTTGGCACAAATAATTTTTAAATATTTTCAGAGGTGGCAAAATATACAATTGAAAAGGGAAAAAACGAAAACTATGCTATTAATTATTAACTTCAAACAATATCGATTTCTATATATTCTATAATTCTTTTCTTAACTATTTGACATTTATAATACTGAATTCTTGGAGAATGCAATAGTTTGAATGGCTCCGATAAATAAGTGGGTCTTTCTAATAAAAAAACGACCAATGGAATTTCAAATTGACGCATTTGTGATAGCTATGTCCATAGATAAAGACTAGAGATTAAAATCCAAATGTTAACGGGTTAAAAAAAGGATCGTTAAAATGCAAAAAAGTCTATTATTAAACGACGAACCTGAAAATGGCATTAATGCGAAAAAAGTTACATGTGAAAGAGCGGAGGTCCTTAGAATAAGTTGATTTATTCTGTTATTTTAATAAACCATATGAATATAAAAAAAAACATTTAATATGAACTTGTTCTTAATTAACGTGTATATTAGTAGCTAACGGATTGTTTTTTCTGTTATGTGTTTTTTGTGTTCAGTTCGTGGCTGCTATTGGTCCAAATATCAGTTTTGTTCTTCCGATAGACTTCAGGGTTCAAAATCTAGAAGACTCAATCGAGTAGGTCAAGATTCCGTACAGCGCCTCTGATGGCTGCGCCGAAAAACAATTGTTGAATGATTTTATGAGTTCTATAAAATGTACAATTATTGTATGTATGTAGTAAAAGTGAGACGATATATAAATCTCCATTTTTTTCACATCTCAATTTAGAACGTGTTGAGAATATCAGAACACCCAGTATACGGGAATGTACGACGTTATCGCGAAAGGTGTACGTTATCACATCGTCATATATTTTATCTCTGGACCAGTCACACCAAAAGGTCAAGTCTTCAACCAGATACTAAATCCAAAATATTTTGGAAAAGTTGTTGCTTAATTTACGGCGGTGGCTCTAATAATAGAACCAGTTAACCTCGAAAAAAGCTACGTAATTCAAATCGGCAATGTTCTTAGATCTGTTTTTTTTTTGTAAATGACATTCGTAAATAAATATGTCGTTTACAAAGTTGGATACGAAGGTGAGAATTTTGCAAGTGATGTTAAAAACAGGCATATTTTACTCAACGTTTCGTACATATACGTTTTCATCACTCTTATTAACCTTCTTTTAAGTTAAGGGTAATTATTTTCCTCGCACGCTCCATTTTTTGCTTTAAAAATATTTTTATGGATAACATTTTGTAGAAAATTAAACCTTTTCACGTTTAAGTAAGTCCGATCTCAATTGAAGAACCAAGAGGTTGACAGTATGTGTTAGGTTCGGTCGCTGACGCAGCAACTGGGCACTGAAATATTTGAAAAACTTGTTCCCATATTTATTTAGCCATACCCATATACAGGTCTGGTCGCCCAGTTGAAGAATGAGCGCGCGGGTAAACGCGGCACAAACACAGCCGCACTGGGCGACCTGGCCATAAATTCAGTTGTCGACAATGGCCTAGCAGTGCAGCGCGGCAATGCGGAATTTGGTGTGATTCAGGTAATTTTAATTTATTATAGGCATCTTCTATTAATCATTCACATTACAAGAGAGTTTTAGAAACGGAACAAAACGAAATTTACCATCAATATAATAAAATTGTTTGAGAACAAAAATAATTAAAATATGTTGTATATAATGTGTAGAAATTTTCTACACATTATATACAAATTATTATAATTTTCTACCTTTAGCAGAAAACTTTTTTAGGAATGCCTATGAAACTCATAAAGTTATTGCTAGGCGTTTTTATACATGTTCAACTGATTTCGGAAAGACTATACAACTAATTACAGTTTTTGTAAATTTAACTTTTCTTTTAAGCAAACTGAATCTACTTTCTCGGTTTGAGATTTTCTGATTAGGCATAACAAAATTTATATACCTAGTATCTGATGCAATTAATTAGGCTTAGGCGAATAAACCTTGAATTTGGAAAAAGAATATACAAAATTTGTGAATATACATACTGTCGTCTTTTGCCTCATTATTATTATATAATTCTTGATATTTACTTGGTTAAAAAAAAATGTTTCCTAATGCTAATTTTATATGAGAAGTGCCAATTTTATTGTAACTTTATCAATGTAATTATGTAATTATAATTACTAGTCGATTATTTCTATTAAAATTTGTATTAGCATATTAATTAGTTAATTTATCATTTTGCTTGAGGGAATTATATTTGGATAATTTTTATTTGAACTATGGCATTCGTTTGTTTGAAAATTAATGCAGTTAAACGTTTACATAGTTTAAAACTGTTCAGGGATAGGTCATATTCAATTCTGCCTCCTTGTCTTTATTCCCTTTCTGTATAGAAATATATACATAACACAAATCAATCGATTGTTGCATTTTGGAGATATAAATTTGTGATTTTTTTTACGATATATGTCTGTTTTTCGAGTCGCGCCATTGAAATCTCGGTTATTTTAAGAGATACAAAGTAGAGTAAATAAGGTGTAATTTTTTTCGATGATAGGTATAATGATATTGATGATAAATTTTTTTCCGTCAAAATACCAAATTATCCATTTTTACATAAAGTACTTTGAACATAAAACATCCAGTTATGACTTTAAATGAAATTTTGACATTTCTGTTAAGTTCCAATTGTTAGTGTCAAGGTTCAGAAAATTTAAAATGCAGTTTTCGCATGGAACAAAGTATATATTCTTCGAGTTGATAAATCAATAAGTTTGATCCGTATATTCATCTCTTTCATATGAAAATTGCGCTTCTAGCTTGACATTGTCAATGAAAATTTAACTGAACTGTCAAACTGTCAAAATTTCGTTTCAAGTACTAGTTGGTTGTTTTGCTTCCAAAGCACTCTTTATAAATACAATAAATTGGTATTCTAAGGAAAACAAAGATGTAAACTAACACCGTTATCAGAAAAATAAATGACTGAATTCCAAATATGTGAAAATCCAATATGACGTTCGCAAAAAAGTCCTAACAATGTTTGATTTTATGATATCAACTCTCTCCGTTTTCGAATAAAAAAATAACAAAAGTTTTAGTTCTTTATCGATAATTTAATAATGAATAGAGGTTTTTTGTTTCGAGAAATTATTCGTCAGCAAATTCCGCAGCTCTGCCCTGCATCTCTTAAAATAACCGAGATCCAAACGCACACAATGGATAAAGTCAAGATTGCCGTGGAACCAGTGCATGTTTATGAAACATTCTATTGTTTTCTTCCATAGTTGTTTCAGATGGCAAGAAAATTCCTAAAATTTCGGTTTTAACAATTTTTTGCATGTAGAAAAGCTTTTCTATTGAAAATTTGGATTTTTGATACAAGCACTGCATTTTTTATAGAAAAAAGGTACAAATATTTTTTTAATATTGTTTCGAGCCACTTAATATTCAATGAGTCTTTTATAACAATCGCTAACTAAGAAGTTTTAAGGGCTTCGATTTTTTATTTGAATATTTCTCTTTTTTATGTGGCAAGTTTGCGGCTCATTTCCGGAATTACCGCACAAACTCCGAGAAACTAATTTCATTGACAAGTTTTTTTTTTTAATAAATCCAGTTAACACCGCCGAGGAGCCCACGGATTCCCCTCGAAAAAAAAAAGACAAACATGACACGAGCACGCACCGATTATCCCCCGTCGAAAAAAAAAGCAGCCCAGAACCCGATCGGAACGACAAGAAGGTGCAAAAGCCGAATACAGAAGCCGGCGAAAAAGATTTTTTGCCGGATCGCGAGCGTGTCGCCTCCGAACAGAAAAACTAGTTTACGCTACGTAAAACCGAGAAAAAAAAGCCCACCGTCCGGGCATTCCTATCCTAATCCTAGTCCGGCGGCGAAGAGCGCTTTCGACCCCCACCCGTCCGAGCTGAATAGGCAGACGACGTTCACTTGTTATATTGTGTTACGTAATAGTTACCCCCTCCTAAAAATTACCCCCACTTAGCGGCGTCTGCCGTGATGCTGCTTGAGCCGGCGTTGCGTTTTTATACCATGTTGTTAGTGTACTTTTTACTACCCGTCGGAGCGTTGCTTTTTTCAGCCGTTTTTGTTTTGTTTTTTGCCGCAGCGCCGCACACTCGATCGGGACTCTCGCTACACGGTGGGTCGGTTTCAGTGCGCGCCGCAGGAGACCGCGGCCAGTGTCTATGTAGGACTATTATTTTTTTAAGTACCAAATAGCCGCCGCCAAACTGGAGTCTAGGTTAGACTACCGCTCCGGGGGGTTGGACTTCCACAATCCCCCGATGCTGCTGGAGAACAACTCGAACTACAGCCACCTCCAGAGGTCCATCGACACGCTGAGGTCGCTGGGGGACCGGCTGGGCGACAGGAACGTGGACCTCCGTCTCAACCTCCACCAGGACCGCCTGGACAGGAACTACGACCGTCCCGGCCAGATGGGCAACGGCCTGGAGCTCAACCTCAGCCTGAACTCGGACAGGATCCTTCAGGAACGCATCCAACAGGAGCGGAGTCTGGAACGTCTGCTGAACGAAAGGAACATGCAGGAACAGAGGATGAACATGGACCACAGCTTAAGCATAGAACGGCTGAACCTAGAGAGGAGCCTGACGCAGAACCTGGACAGGAATTTGAACCTGGATCGTAACCTCAACCTCACCCAACCTCAAGACCGTTCGTACATGAACGATCGCGCTCTCATGGACAGGAACATCAACTCCGAGAGGAACCTCATCGACAGGAACCTGAACAACATCGACAGGATGAGCATGGACCGCGGCTACGGCAACGACAGGCTGTCGGAGCGCCTGAGGATGGACGGCGGGGGTGATATGAGACATAGTGATATCAACAGGGACATTAACGACCTGAAGTACAGGGAGTACAAGGCGCACCTGGAGAACTTGCGGTCCGAGAGTTCAAGGTCGCTGGATAGGGGCCAGGACGAGGACAGAGGGGCCACGCCGACGACGCCGCCCACCCCCATCTCGGTGGGTGAGAATTTCCAGGAGGAGAAGGTAATTCTTTACGTTTAATTCGAGTCGGCCGGACTGTGTTTCATCCCGCCCGCCGAAACCGTCTTCAGATGGATTTTTCGAAATCTACGTTCCAGATAAATGCTTTTAACGGGCGCGACCTTGTTTGGGGCTTCAGAACGGTAAATAAATGTACTTGGAGAATAATGCTCGTCTACGATAATTAATGATCCGGCTGGAATAAAAATATTGGTTTCTATTATCTTTTATCCTCACGTGAAACGTCTCAAAATTGCGCATATACAAATCAACATTTTGTGGCACAAAAACATGTATAAATACGCAATATTAAATCGTCCTTTTACTTAAAGCTTCTTTAACATTATACAAAAATATGTATACACTGAGAAAAGTGTTCAAGTCTTCTATAAAAAGTTTATGCTTATCAAAACACTGCTTTAAAATTTTTTTTCATAAAACCTCTAGATTAGGTGCCCTTTAAAATTGTTTTATGAACAAATAAACGTTTCTGGTTTGACAGATTTATATTATTATAGTTCATTAATTTATGTTGTAAAAATAAAACAAGATTATTGTTACTTTTACACAACTGTCCAACAAGCGCCACAACAAATAATAACATTTAGATCCTCGAACATTTTATTTATAATTCAATTTCTGCCTCAATTAAAACATATTAAAATAAAAAAAATCACAATTATAGAAAATTGAACAAATAATATTTGAAATTAATATAGATATAAATATTTTGTTGTCCTTAAAACTATTTCTCAATTTTGTATATATTAAATTACTTGTATGTATTAAAAATTCATTTAGATCTATTGAGTGTACAAAGAAGAGAAGCGCAGTCTTATTTTTATGTCGCAAAACACGGAATCGAATTTTGTAAAAGTATTTTTTTTGTCTAAGAAATAAGTAAGGCATACGTATAAATTTTTTTTAAACTAAATTTCCACTTTGTTCCCTTACATTTTATAAAGATTTGATATCAAAAGAAATTTCTGGTCGTTTACCAGCAAATTGTGTCATAATTAACTTCCTGGACGCGTAATATCATTGCTGCGTCACAAAAATAAAAGGCGCCATTCCAAATTTTTTCAATCAATTTTTTCATCTCCAAATACCTTCTTTAATAAATCTCCTTACCGTTTACTTTGGAAACTCCAGTAAGTTTTACAGGTCACTTTTTTTGTTTATTTAATAATTGTTATTACCAAAAACTGTAGTATATACAAGAAGGTCAGTTTAGTTTGTTAAATTATAGTTTATTTGAGTACATTAAAAAAATATATCGGTAATTGCACACGACATTAATTTTAAATAATTAGGTGAACTAACTGGATAAAAATTATTTTTTTCAAGCGTTGACAACAATCATAGCTTCAACAAGGCAATAACTCTTGTAACTGCTGATTTTTTCCTGTAAATCACCTCTTGATATACAGGGCGTTACAAAATTACTGCCTGTACGGAACATAAAACTTCTAGATGCTATTTCCCCTTAAATATGTTATAAAAACTTCAGTTATTTTTGTCCAGGGTGAATCATTTATATTATGAAAAAAAATCAGGTGGATTTTTTTGCAAATTTAAATACTCCGTGTCTGGCAAACGAAGTGTTTCCTGGCAAATAGGATTTTTTATGTTTCTCAATATAAATTAATCCCCCGTATATATTTTGCGGAAGAATAAGCCCACAACTTCCCATTAGAGCAATTTGCATGTGCCTACCTAAATACATGTTTAATTTTTTTCTATCGGACACGGACATCTTATACAAACACACAACAATCCTAAACTGTCTGATAAAAATATGTAACAACTATATCCATGTTATTATTTCGTACATACACACACACATGCTGATAAGAAATTGCAAAACTTACTATGCGGAGCCATGGGTATGTTCAGTGGCAATCATTCATGCGCCGATGCTAGTAAGGGAGATAAAAGCTCGAGAGATACGCAATATGTTCCTCTTTCTGTGCCTATAAATGGGACAGTGATGAAATTTTCGTGTCGAATACATGTAATTTGGGTTATTATTCCATATAGAAATAAATAAGTAGTTGCTTTGGAACGTTTTAAATTATCTTCCTTTTGTTTGTAAACTTTGCAGCGTGTTTAGGCGTCCCGATAGGTGATACACTGAAAGAAATTGTAAACAAATATATCTGCAATTTGTAGACACATTATCATTGTTGTATAGGCAACGGATAGCACTGTGAATTTATTGTTATATTAAAAATTAAATACATCGGCCAATTAACCAACGGGACATGGTACCGTTCGATTTTTCACGCGAGGTATACGGAATCGCTTCAAAACTAAACCCCTGACTAGATTTTTCTGCATACAGTTTCAAAATATTATATATTTTATTTATTTAAAGTTAATTTTCTGGAAGAAAATTGTTTGGGCGGCGAAACTTTGTTTTGTGGTTGTAGCTGCCAGAAACTTCGTCGTACATATTCGATCTGGTTGGGCGAGGGCGCAAAACGCGTGTAACAGGTAGGCAACCAGGTTAACAGACAAATTAACAAAGCCTGCTGCGAGTTGTAAGGGGTCGCGACGTCTTTTGTTTCCCCAACTTTGCGAGTTTCCACAGCCTTATTAGGAGAATAGGAATTTGAAATGTCTCTTGAGCAGTTTAATTGACGTAGGTATGTTTGATGGGATATTATACGAGGTGTCCCGATTTGTATGCGTACCGACTACTGACGTAGTAAGAATAAAACAAATACGGTTTGTTTAATAGATCCTAATGGTACACAAGTTCGCAAAATCGATTAAATCGTAAGTCTGCTAAGATTTTGTAATTTGTAACAGAAATTTAAATAAATACTACATTCTTTAATGTGCTAATACAAATTTTCAATAAGTTAAGAGAAGGTCGTAGTCGGCTTTGAATTTTGAGTTTGATGCGATTTCCAGATATGTACATTCATAATTAAATATAAATTGATTTTCATTTGTTTTTATTTTCTATGCTAAGAACTGTACGCTTATAAATCGTCACACCCTGTATTTTAATTTGTTTTTTTACTCGACATTCGTTTCGAAATTGGAACCTAAAGTATGAGAGGAACAGAATATTTTTAAGATCTAATCAATCTGGAAAATCTGCAATTGTCAAACATTTTTACATATTACAGGGAAATGTCGGGACATTAAAGAATTTGTTGCTTTGATACTTTCATTATTTTTTTTATACTCTGATTGTAATACTAAATAAAACAATATTACTATTCTTTTCAATTTTATCCAAAAAGAATTAGAAACCTCTCTTTTCAATAATCAATTATATCCCGTTATTTGCAGTCTATTTGCAAAAATTTTTTAGGTTTCAAATATCGTACAAGGGAACTGAGCGAGTAAAATAACTTTTTTGGTCGTACTACGAAACGAAATTACAGTTAAATTTTCAAAAAATGCGATTTTTATTTCTTTTAAATAAAATTCGAACGAAAATGAAATCATTTTTTCATTCAGTAGATTCTGCAGTAGTGCAGTGTCCACATAAGCTTTTCAGTATCTCTAATAGTTCCTGAGATCCCTGGAGGGGCAATCAAATTTGGTTCACCCTGTATATAAATATGTTGACTTCAAAGGATATGTTCTAATAACTTTCATATGATTTGATTAAATTTAAATTTTTGTATCGAAATAAATCGTTATTAAACAAAAAAAATGGAAAATGTCAGTTTTTGAGTTTCAATTTTTTATTAATGGTGGTGCTTTTATTTTTAACTTGTCATATATTTTTTAAATAGGGTGCAACTTTTCTTATTAGTGAAGTAGATAAATATAATATACATAATTCTTAATAATTTAAATAAAAAGAAATGTTTGCTGTTTGTGTAATTAATTAACGTTACTAGAATTGTGCTAACAATTACGCGTAATTTTCGAAAAATGTTCTTTTGTGATTAATATAATTAATATAATGTCAACCAAAAGTCTGCTTATATCTAGATTGTTCTTATATGATGTTCAAATAGGCAAAGATTATTGGAAAAGGACATTTTTTTCATAAAATCATAAATAAAAGTGTTCCCTCTTTGGAAAAATTTTAATAAATATACGTAGAACATATACAAAATTTAGGATCTAGTGCTGATTGAAAAAAATGGAAACTGATATATTTAGAGCTTAGAGAACATTTTTTAAATCAACCTGGAAAAACTTCGTTGGTCATAATTTAGTGTACACCCTGTATAGCGATTACGCGCGTTTTCACCTCTAAAATTCCTTCCATACCTTTACCGGTAAATATTTTTCGTCGCCGTAAAACCTTTAGATCGTCCTTGTATTACGATTGTTTTTTTTACTATCGATCGTTCGAATAACTTACCTTACTTTTCGATCCGAACTAGGAAACTTCCATAGCCGAGATAAACGAATTTTTTTTTAAACAAACCGTCGCCCCGTTGCGCTACTACCTGAAGTGTGCTGGCCATAAATTAGTCATTTCGGGTCCTCCACGCTCTGCTAGGCCTGCTTGATGGATTTGATCGTGACGAGACCAATCGGTAAACAGAAAAAAATGTATGAATCGGAATCGTAAATAAATCAAGCGTGCTATTACCGCGTACAAAGACCAAATTAAGTTCTGGTAGCCGGAGTGAAAGGCGTTCGAAATCTGTGAGGGGATAGGTGTAACTGTTTCGGAGTTTAGGCGAACGTACAGTGTACGAGAGGCGTCCTTTTTTCGGCGCGTTTTGTTTTTCAATCGGACGGTGTTGTCCCTAATTTTTGGCGCCGGGCGTAGGAGTTAAACTGCCCGTACAAGTTTAGGACACAGTAGAAATTGACGTTTTTGGAAACTGTTTTTTTTTCTTTCAAAATTTCGAGGTTTTAGTGATTTTTGTTCTATGTACGGGGTGTCCCAATGTTTTGGGGCCAAAATAAGACGATTTAATAAAATTTTCCTTTATCAAAGTGACGTCATTTTGGTGTTAAAGGGCTTCAGTTAACAGAAAATTTCATATAAATAGAATGAATCATTTTAGTTATTT